AGTAAGGGTAACTTCTTATTCAAATCATCAGCTTAACAGGCATGCTATACCAACTTTTCCAAATTTATTACTAAGTTTTGGTCTACATTTAAGTTTTCTGCCAAGAATATATATTGGGACAGGAATGCAAAATATCTGTGCTCTTCTCTCCTTCCACCTCCACCAGCAAAATCTCTAGTGCAATGGCAGGTGTGCTGCTTGCAGAATTTCAGTAAATGGTGCTGGGAAAAGGACTTTTCAGCTAGCAGTTAGCGTTAGCTGGCTGTACTGGAGGCTGTGCCAGGAGAGTCCTCCTAGATAAGGATGTGAAAGCTGTCATGCTGCCTTGGGGGAAAGCTCCCTCTACCCAGTACCCTGACTGGTGGAGGCCATTAACAACTTCTGCTTCTGGAATTGAAGATCTAGGGATTTTTGAGCCACATAACGGCTCAGTGGCTGACGTGTTTACCTTCCTGAGAAATTGCCTAATCCTTTCCATCTCATCTTTGGTTTCGGCCTTCACGGCGGGCTGTGGTAAGGAGTTTCGTAAACCAGAGGGCCTGGATTTTGAGGTGCGTGTATCTCTGAGCTGGCAGGGTTGTGAAAATGTATGGTTAGGGCATATGTTTGGGAGGAGACGCAGTGGACAGCAGAGCTGGCCTGACCTGACAGCTGAATGTATATGGTGTCCTCACAGGTCATGGGCAGACTGGGGGGTGCAGCTCCTTTAGTGTGCACAGACCACAAGGCTACCACCCTCCAGTATGTCCTCTGGCTGAGGCCAGAGCATCCCACGTTATTTGTCAAGGATCTCCACTGCTGGCCATTCCTCACCCTTGCTTCATTTGTCATTCCGGGGCACGAAACATTCCTGTAGCTCAGCTGTCTTCCCCAGCCTCTGCTGACGTGCTGTGCCAAGGTCATGGAACACAGCTTTCCCTCACCCGCAGCCTCTCGGCCTGGAGCCCCGCCAAGCTGGGCCGATGGCGGTAGCACTTCACGGGGCCTCTCAGGTGCTTGAGCAAACAAAGGCTGGAGAGGAACAGATGCCTCGGCAGCAGGTTTGGGCTAGAAATGCTCACAAGTTCCTGGCTGGGGCTCCTTGCTCTCCCCCTGCTCTCCTGAGGTTCGGGGCTGTCGGAGATGGGTTGCGTTGCGTTTCTCTCTCAGCTGCTGCAGAAAGTTCTGTTTCTCAGTTGTACCCAAAGCAGTTTCACAGTGTAAAACCCCCCAAATGTTCAAACCCTGTTTTCTCTTTAGCAGCTGCATCAGCTGAGCTAAGGGGGAACTGGATTACTCGATTTGAGTGTGACTTCATTTTCCTGTCATCACTTTTGTTTGCACTGTTTCAGCTCTATAGTACACATTCACTTTGTCATAGACTAATCCCCAGCTCCCTGTGAAAAAAAGGAAAGAAATCCTTCCACCTGTTAGGAAGGAGAACGCGAGGAGTTAACCAGCCAAGCACACCGAGGGAAAATCAAACTGGGCTGTAACCCAGGGGCCTGGCTGGTTTGCTGATAGTCAGGATGAGGATCTGGGATTTGCCTACCTAAAGAAAAAAGGACTTCACTGCTGACAGTAGGTGTCAGCAGCACATGACAGTTGGTGCAGAGCAGGATCTCCTTGAAGACGGGGGAACAACTTTCTGAGCTGTTCCAGCCTACTTTGAGCTTGATTTTAATCTCAGCTTCAGAAACAGCACAGATCAGTTTGTTTCTGCCTAAGCTGCAGCCACATGAATTTCTGCCCCGATCTAATGTCACTTATTTCCGCTACCATCTCTTTACAAGCTGTGTATCAAGCTACAAAGAGCACCAAATAGGTCTGTATTTATTGAACACCAAACCTGTTACAGTTCTTGGTCTCCCACTCTTGCTGGAGTGGCGCAGGAATCAATGGTGGTATTATTCAATAGTAAAGCAGCAATAATAAAGTAGTAGCACTCCTCCTCCTCCTCCTGGAAAAAGAATGCTGATAAAGTATTTCCAGTGTGAAGGTCGGCTCTGCAAAGTTGTCCCACCTCGACATTTTTTTTTTTTCCTTTTTCCCCTCAACCATAGTTGTTTTCTGCCCATTAAAGCAGACACGATGCATTGACAGCTGCTAAATGACAAGAAAATACCTACAGGAGTTGACTGGGAGATGAATAACTCCCATTATCCAGCAGCAGCAAAAGGTATTTTGGATTGCTGGTAATTCCAGTGCTGCCTCAACGAATACCATCCCACGTGCTGATTACAAGAGCACAGGAGACCTACAGAAGATGGCCAGCAGGGGCCATGGTCTCAAGACCATGTCTCAGAGGATCCTGTACAATGATATCCGAACACAGAAAGACTGCACAGGAGTCTCAGTGCCAGGGAAGTCAAGACAAATCCAGTAAATGAGCAAAAATTCCCTGTGTGGTAGCTCCGAGAACCTGGTCTTTAAGCAGGCAGTGATTTGTCTCCACCAGAGAACTGAATTGGGCTATGGCCGAGACAGTCCTCAGAGCAAAAGGTATCAATGCATATTGCCAATAACTGCTCTTAGGACTTCTTTAAGAATGCAGGATGAAACTTTCAAGGCCAGCAAAATAAAGCTGGTAGAGCTGCTATTGGAGCTGCCTGGTGTTTCCCACTGTTGTGTGAGAGGAGTGACCCGACAGGACATACTGCTCCACCTGCAAGCCTGGCTGTGGCTGCTGCAGGTGCAAACGTGCTACGCTTTCCCTTTCTGGCCTTCCCAGTTCATTCCAAGACACACTGCAGCATGGAAGAAACACGGGTGCAGGGACAAGTCCCCTTCCTTGTGCCTGGCACTACCACTGTGGCATTTCCAGAAGCATCTGATGGCTTTAAACATCTTTAAACACCTACCTACAGGACACTCCACGTGCTAGCACATGGCTGAGCTAGCACACCCTCGGCCAGCTTCTTGCTTATACTGGTATAAAGGCCCTCCTCGTTCCCGAGGTAGGACGGAGGGGATGCTTTCAGGTCTTCTCCATGCTGCCAGTTCACTGGTTCTTCATCTGCTCCAGCCAAGGACAAAACTCCTTCTCTGGCAGAAGGCTGAAAAAAGTTCTTCTCACAGACATGCTGCCCATGAAGGTCAATTCACCGCCTGAGAGCTTCCTCCCTTGGCTTCACCTCAATCCACTCCAGTCACTCCCACCTCAATCAACTTTTTTGCAAGTGCTCGTCGCTTCCTCACTTGAAGAAACATTGACACTCGGCGGGAACAGAGGGGACTGTAAGATGGAAGACAGTGGGAGGTAAGAAATACAGGCCAAACCAGAAATCTGCTGACTATTTTCATCAGCACTGGCAAAACACAGCTGTCATAGGAAAGGAGAGGTCCGAAAGTGAAAACTACTGTAGCTGGACACTATACTGGGAAAGCAAGAGAATCAGCTGCAGGAGGTTTCAACAAAAACAGGGGGAGGGATGTGGAGCCTCTCCCAAGCAGTACTTAACCCTGAACTGCTCCAGCAGGTGAGGAAAGAGGACAAGGGACCTGAAAATACATTTAATTACACACACGAGATAACAGCACTGTCTGTCAGTACGGGCTGCATCTCCATAAGAGGGTTTTTATTTATTTTTGTGGGTTTGCTCATATACTTTGGAGGCAGCTGGACTATTTCCATACCAGAATAACTGGTTGGTAGGCACTCTGAAAATATTAAGAGCTGATAAAAATTTGCTTTACATTTGCAAGGAAAAACACACCACTTGCCATTGGCACTAAGGGACACCAGCCCGAGTACAAACACTGCACTTTGAGCTTTCAGAGGGCTGCGCAGGCCGGCACCGCTTCTTGCTGCTTTATTCCAGCAATTTCTCCGTGCAACAACCCCTAGTGCTGGAAATCGTGCCACCTGGCTTGATGTAAAGTGACGATGGTGGAAGGTTTTTATTGTTTTTACAAAACAACATAGCAGCTCCCCTCACCAGTAAGCTCCCTCCCCACACCTTGCACCCCCGGAGAGAAGAGCAAGCTGCACAGCACGACAGTCTGCAGGACCAGCCAACATCTGACCTGGGAGCTGAGTCACAAGACGCAGTGGCATAGAAAAAAAAAAAGCTTATCTCTCTGCATGGTTTTTTTTGTTTTTTTTTTTTTTCTTCTCATCACATGCTCCAGGGGAAGTCAGCTGTAAAAACCAGGAGTTTCGTTCCTGGTAATGAGCTTTAGCCTCGTGCGAGGATGTAAGTCATGTCAGAGTAGGAGCAGAAGTAGTCCCAGGTGCCAAGCGGAACTGCAATTACCCTGCAGCAGCATTTAGCAGTTTAAGCATTTACGTACGCCTTGCAACTACGAAGTCGCTGTGAAGATGCTGCCAGAAACCTGTCCAGGAGCAGAAGGAAGACGAGGACCTTCCAGATCAGGAAGGAAGCTCAAAGTGTGTCACAACTATGAGCTCTAAGCTGCCCTTCCACAAGTTCTTTTCGTTCAGGAGCCTCACCAACAGCCTTGATCTTTGCTATCAGAAGGAAACTTTGCCATGGGCGTTTGCAGGTCTCTGTTTAACCTTACATGACCACTGCCAAGAAGTTGAACTGCCTCCCTCTGTAGGCTCTGCCTCTGCTCAGCAGGGACACATTCCCAGGAGAAGCAGCAGATCCCTCAGCTGCTGTCCCAGGGCAGAGTTCTGCTCTATCCACAACCAGGAACAGCAGCAGTGATCATAACTTCTTTTGAAAGGTTTCAATAATCACCTTGTAAAACTGGAAACTCACCAACAAAATGGAGCTTCTCTGCAGACTCAGATGCGAAACCTTGATTTACAAGAAATCCTTCATTTCCTTACAGGCTTCAATATTTTGTTACTGAAAATCCAATCTATAGAATAACTCTATTCCCAGCACTGTTTTACTTTATTGAAACAATATGCAGCTTACGAGCTCTGTGTCTGGGGGGTAAAGGATGTTGTTACACCACCCAGGAGGCTGATGGTGAGACACAGCCACCCCTGAAAAACAGACAGTGCCATCCCTGCAGGCCCCAACACAGTACTTTAAAGACAAAAATACTCCTTATTCACTTATTTCATTACTTTATCAAAGGGAACAGCAAAAATATCCTACAAACAGATTCAGAAACTATGGTAATTCATCAGATTTATGCATCAAAACACATTTCATGCAGAAACTGTAATAAATACAAATGAAAACATTGTCAAAACCATTTCATAACACCTCACAATTTGAGAGTAAGCTTCAGCTTCAAAGTACCCAGTTAGCAAAATTCCAGTTTCATTGTTATTGTAATTAGTTGGCAGAAAGAGTAGTGACTTGACAAGTTTCAACCTGAATACACTTAAAGATAAGAACTCCACATTTAAAATACATTATTTTGCTATATTTGGTCAAAAAGATAAACCTTTATCATCTACTTTTCCTCAGAAAAATTAAAACTTTCTTATAGGCCAACAATAAGGTCTTTGACATTTCCCTGCTTTCTAGGCTGATAGAGAAGGCTGTTAATGACGCTATTTCCCCCCCCAGTCCTCAAGCAGCTCTGAGCAGCAAACCACAGTGATTTTGTCCTCAAGTTATCAATTTTATCAAGATTTTCACATTTTCAGCGCAAGCTCTAGTACTTTTTTTGTAGCTTCTGTCAACTTCTTAAAGATTTCTATGGGATTTTTGTTGCTTAAGCCAGACATTCAACTCCGGTGTTATCATTTGAGCCAATTATTTCTGTACTCATAGATGGACATAGTTGCTTTTTGATGAGTAACGCTGATGTCACTTTCCTAGACTAACCACAGCTGCCAAATCTCCTTGTGGAGACGCAGCTTGTATCAGCAAAACAGTGCTTTGCTTTTGCTGTAATGTTTTTCATCAATTTCCAGACACAGTATTTTCACAAGAGTGAAAGCTTGGCTTCTCAGACTGCTGCCAGCCCAGAGGAGCTGTGCACACACACTTCTAAGCTGTATTAGGACAGCTTAGCCTCTCGAGAAGACCTGGAGGTAAAGCAGCCCGTTTTCACTCTTCCTCCTGCCCAATCCTGAGAAATTTCTCTGGGTTTTTTCAGTGATGCCTCTCCCAGGCCACAATCAATCACAAAAGAACCGAGAGACATTTTTCAGAACCCCAAAATGTCACCGCAGAACACAGCAAGGTCTCTCTGCTTTCTACTCTTTGACAGCATGTTGTTTTTAAAAAGTACATTTGGGAAAGTTTACATCCCGTAAGACATTCAATGTCCCTTCGTCGCTTAGTCTCAAGGTCTACTATGTTCTAGAGATAACCACCAGCTTTGGATTAAGAATGCTCCCTTCAGTTTTGCAACAAGCAGCTTTGGTTTACTGTGTTCTGGACAGAGACTGAGATATAAGCCAGTCTTCACAGCACTGCTACCATCCACCATCAAAAAAACAGTCTGGAGTCTCAGTGTGGGTGAAGCGTCTGTAGCTACCTGAATTTAAACGACCTCAGTCCAAATTAGAGAAGGACCATCTTGTCTCATTCTGGGTTTTTAGTTTGGTTTGGGTTTTTTTTCATAATTTATACACAAACTCCCCCAGGTTTGCACAGCCCCCTGGATAAACCCTAAAACATGGAGTGTCCCTGAATATGCCAATTTTGGCTCCAGTAGTCACATAGCACAGATACAAACATTGTATGAATGTTGGCCTGTCTCTCTCTCTCTGGTTTTGCTCTTTCCCATTAAGGAAAAACCCCAACACCCAAGTAACTGATTGCACTTACAATAATGTTCACATGAATTTTACAAAGACAAACAAAAGTAGTTTCAAAGAGCAACACCCCTTGCTTTGAAAATCTGATAAGGCTACTATTGCCATAATCCCTCAAGTACAGACAAATAGACAGGCGCTGTTAACATCATTCTTCTTAACTTGGATGAGTTTCTTTTCAATCTTCTGAGAAGCTGCTGTTGTGAAATAGCGGACGTTCCAGCACCTGTAATACCCTAAACAAGAGTGAGGGTCCACATTTCCACAGGGAGAGGATTTCTTTGCCTAGTCCTTCACACCTCATATCCACTTCTGAAGCCCACCACTAATAAAAAAAGTGCTAGCACACAGGGAGGATTAGTTCAATCACTCAGATGTAATAACGTCAAGCATTTCATCTTCGTTTTGTGCCACCAAAGCCTGCAAAGAAAAAAAAAAAGCGTCAACCACAGCCTTTCCTAATAAGGTTAAAGGTGGTAAGTGAGATGAGTTCAACAGATTCTCATAAAGCAGAACAGCAAGCAACTGTGGGCTGACTAGCCTGAAAAAGATTCTGTTCTTGCAGATTAGATAACCTGCTTTCTACAAAGAAAGCGCGTTTGCACATGTTTGCTAGAGAAGGGCATGTGTGGTGCACACCAAAGGGGAAAGCCTTAAACTAATGCACCTTGGAGGTGAAGTCAAACCCAGCGCTGGGGGTACCATGCCCGTTGTAGACCTGTGGGGAGTCTGATGCACCACTATGCTGCCCTACTTCCATAGGAAACAGAAATAGGGGACATTGTTACACTTCTACCTGAACCGATTGATAAAATAGAACAAAGAATGCTTGCTGAACCTCAACTAACACCTGTGTATTTTTGATAGGTCCAAGTCTCTCAAGCTTCAGGAGGTAAAAAGATATTCTGCCTTACCAGAAGCAGTTCTTGTTCCTGAACTGCCATCTTGTGTGGAATTGCTTGAGTGCCCACTCATTGGAGGTGTGGGATCTGTCCGCATACCGTAATGTGGGGAACATGGCTGTGCTCTGATGAGAAACAGAGTAGAAGGAAGGCTTCATTAGTGACCTTAAGAAAAAATTAAGAAGTCACCATTCCAAACAAGGGGTCTGCATCTGAGGGAAAACTGTAAGCACGCAGTTGTTTCAAAGCCAGAAGCCTCCCTATTTAATGTAATTAACACATTCAGAGCAAGGATATTCAGTGTTGTCATGATAACCTCTGTAGACTTTCAGAAGGAAACTAAAGGATAAAGAACTCTAAAAATTGCAATTGAGGAACTTTTTCTCTCTGAAACTCTGACCTTAGATTCTGTCAGACAAGGAAGTAGACCTGAAATCTGAAGCTTAAATGCCTTTTGGCTACACCTACATCCCAACCATGTAAGACAAAAGAAAACTTCCTTCTGTTCCGTTAACTATTTTGAAAAGGTTGTATCAGTAAGACTAACACATCATGACCTTTGACTCACTGATTTAAATTACTTGCTTCTGTGGTTATGGAATTTCCTGTTGTTGAAATTTACAAATAGCCACCTCACAACAGTATCAGCACCGGCATCTTCAACATCACTTCAAATGACTGAAAAAAAGAAAAACTGACCAAAGTCTGTTTTAAAGAAAAGAAGCCCAAGCCAGAAAGCTTGTTCATGTATTTAGAGTTAAATATTCAGTTAGGGCTCTAATCTTGAACAAGAGGTAGTAATGAAATGGGGTGTGTGGAAATCAAGGAACCAACCTGTACATAGATAATACATAAATACAATGCTTAAACACAAGGGTCATGTATTTAAGACTTAAGGAATAGCAAGTCAATAACACCTTTAATATATTATACCTTTTAAGAATCCTTAGTGGAGTTAATATAATAAAACAAGATCATAGAATCATTTTGGTTGGAAAAGTCCTTTAAGATCATTGAATCTAAGATACGATCTTTCAACCTCTAAAGCTTTACTCAAAGTGAATTCATACACAACTTCTACTGCTGCATCACCGTCTCAGTTTCACCTTACTCGACTCTATGTGATCAAGATCACACATTGGACACTTTAGAAATTATCTTACACTTAAGTTTTTACTTCCTTAATAAACAGGCAACTCTGACAAGGCGCCAGTCATTACCCAAAAAACCCTTTAGAGTGGAGGAAGGTGCTGTAACACATTCCTCTCCACATGATCTTACTCTCAAAATATAAAAAGTCATATGTGGTTATATTTAATGCACTAATATCACTGCATTCCTACAGGATTAGAGTTGATACACATGCACTTATTTGATCAATAGCTGAAACTGCTTGGGTTCTAAAGATTCCTTGCAGGAGCCACGTATTTTCTCTAGTGATGCCTAAAGTGGCAGGATTTCTCTCTTTAAACTGTTTATCTGACAATGATGCATTTTCAACGTTTACAAGTGTTTAGCAAATATGACCAGCAGATGTTTACTCCAGCAGGGAAACTGCTTTTGAATGCTCTTTGTGTTGTTTTTCCAAAATACAACTTACATCTGACCTACAAATACTTTGGAAAACCACACCTCTCGGATTTCCATGCATGAGCCATTGGATTTCCCATATACAGGACTGTAGGCTGACGGCTGTTTAATCTGACCACACTGACTATCACAGAAGAGCAACTGCCATCCAGACTGCTTTAGGAAAGATGACACTGACACAAGAGACCCATCTACAGATGGTTTTATGCTCACAATTATTATCTGTGTTTTTATGCAGTCTGTAGATGGATATTTAGATCCTCATTTTACATTTGCAGGCCATCATGCCAGGTCAGAGTAATCAGCTAAAGCAGAATAAAGTACCTTTGGCCTCCCAATTCTTCTTACCCAGAAACATGCTTAAAATGTCTCTCTGCTGGTGGAGCTATAGATTGATTCTCAACTCTTACCCAGAAACATGCTTAAAATGTCTCTGCTGCTGGAGCTATAGATTAATTCTCAAAATTTTTCTAGACATAGGATTTTATAGCTTGAACAATACAGGCCTCAAAGCTTAGAAACAATGTAAACACAGTATATGACAAACCCCTTGAAAGCTTAAATACTTAAAATCTGATAGCATGCATATTTTACCTGTTACTGCCAGCCAAGTAGCCTAGCAAGCCTCCTGCTCCTAATCCGGTCCAAAATCCTGGTCCTGAGTTGGTTTCATGACTGGAATAAGTCCCAAAGCCGTTGCCCTCTTAACCAAAATGAAAATGGAAAACAACAGTTAGTGGCACCTAATCCTCAGGCCAGCTGTTGCAACAAGACTCTCCCCTGTTAAAAATAATAGAAAATCAAGGCAGTAAACTTCTCCTGATTTCAGTAGATTCTTTACCAAGCTCAGCTTGAAAGGCCTCACAGTTCGCAAAGCAGGAAAAAAATAGAAACGAACACTAGTGTAAAGAGTTTTACATTAAAAATTATCTTCCACTCAATCTCACAGCCCTGATATTTGCAAAACAATGGCAGAGTCCCTGCCTGCCGATTTACAACCAGACAATTTAGATTGAAAAATAGAAAAGGTAATGAAGGAAGACTAATCTGCTCAAGGTCACGCAGCAGGCCAGGAGCAGACTCATGAACAGAATTCGAGTACGTAAGACCAAATAGTGAACTAACCACTAAGACTCACCACTTGTAATCTCACTCAGAACAGCTGCACAGCAGCTCAGTCTAACGGCTAACATTGCTTTGTATTGTTTCTGGTAATCCTAGTCTGGCATTTGTTATCACAAGACACACTAACTGCAATCACATTGCAAAGTTTTTATTATGCATGAGTCACCAAGCTTGACAAATACCTTGATGAAACTGCAAGCAGGTTATGGGGGGAAGAGAGTCAAAGATTTTTTGCATGGGACCTGCACAACCCAAGGTTCTGATTTGGAACCAAACATCTTCCATTTAGAAACAAAAAGAGAAGAGGCAAAACCAAAATAGAGTAATTTTCTGCCCTAGACAAAAACACATACATAAGAATAAGCTCAATCACAAGTTTAATACATAGGGATGTATAAAAGGCAAGGACTGAAGAAAACATTAGTCACCATGAAATATGTCCACCTAAACAAGTGGACTAGAGATTTTTGTACATAAAAGTTACATAGGGCCTGGTTTGTCTTCAAACTGGTGTGGATTGTTTGAAGCCATGGAAGATAAACAAACAATTTAAATAAATCAGTTTAAGTCTACACTGGATTTGATGTTGAATTTCATTTTGAATGCACTGGGAGAAAGATAAACTCTCATTGGGATGATACACCCATTAAACTGTGCTGATTTGGAACAAAAAATAGTAGTTCATTTACTGTAACAACGATGTTAACCAGGAAGATGAACAAACTCATTTGTTCAAAAGCAACATGGTTGAACACTGACTCAGAAAACTGAGTCATATTTTGTTGAAATATCTGAAGTAAACCTTAAGGATCATGTCAAAACACTAACAAAAAAAAAAAAAAAGGTAGAATTTAATTAAGATAGGCTAGCTAAACAAGTTTCACATGATGCACTCTGCATGTTACGGGGATTTTAAATGAGGCAAATTAAATATTAACAGCAATAAGTGAACAACATTGCTTTTCATTACTGTCCAGATTTTCAAAGACTAATGTGTTCCTGGAACACCTGGACATTTACGCTCAAAGACGTGCTTCTGCTCTGCCACCAAAATTCAGTGCCCCGTGGCTGCTGAGTATTGGCTGAGAGCAATACTCTGTTGCGTGTACGTGCATTGAAAGCAATGGGCAAATGTGAGGGCTCTACAAAGGTATCTCTGCAATTCTTATGTTAAGCTGACAGATCAAATTTAAGAGTTAAGCTCGTCTTGTGAGGTGGTGTTAGATTTCTCCTTGAAATCCAAGGAGAAATCATTTACGCTCATTATTAAAAATACCTTAGGCGTATGGCTTCCCATGTGCATTTTAAGTGTATCAATTTTCAGTAATCACCAAGAAAACATATTTTCTAGGCCCTACCCTTGCTAGATTTCAGCCTCCTGCAAAGAAAACAGCATCGGTGCAATTAATCCACACAGGACAGGACAGAATGTAAGAAAGGAACTCTTCACTTTCCTTTGCCTGTGCCCAGCGTGACAGAGCCCTGCCTTATGACCAGGGCTCTTCGTAACTACCACAGTAACGCCAGTGGCATGAGGTCACGGATGCACACACAGCACAGACAGACTCAAGTCTGAAATAACCACATGGAAACCAATTTGCAAAGCCACTGGTAACACAGATGCCCAACGCCCTTAATTTTCCACTGCACGTGCCCTGCACAAGGGCATCCAGAAGAGTTATACTGGCACCTGCTGTTGGCCGAGTGGACTGAGCAAACCCAGAAGAAAGCATGAACAAGCATTACTAAAATATAAGCTTTTGACTAAGTAAATTTAATCCTTGCTATTTATTTACTTGATGGAATCCCTTCTCTATCTCACAAAAAAAAAAAAAAATCCAAACCAGAAGAGATGGAGACGATACAACGTGTCAGGGTATAAATTTGAGTTCCAGTGCTGTGAACATCTCACATGTTCACAGGGTTAAAGGAGTTGATCAGATATCAGATCAATAATGTTTATTTCCCTTACGACATATGATCATCTAAAAGCAGACCATTTATTAAGAGATGAAAGTCACCAGTTTTCTGGGAAAATAGTGAGTGCATCTTTTCCTAGCAGCAGCCTTGTCCCTGCTTATAAGATTTCCACCTTCAGAGGAAAGGCACCACATGAGACTCGGGTGGTGTAATGATAGTTCACAGACACCATTCTCTGTTCTGGGAACCAGACCTTTCAACCACTGGGACGGCGCTGCAGCACCTGTTGGTCAAACAGAGGACTGCTACATGATACTCAGCTCCAACTGTTTTGCCAATGAAATCAGGGGTCTGGCAGCCCAACAGCTGAAAGACCCTTCTGTAAAGTTTCAAAGTGCTTCTCTGGCATGAGTTTGTTTCTGCCTGCATGAGACTATTCTCTCTTCCAGATTACTTATGAAAATTACTCTTCCCTGTCACAATCCTCGTATTTCAGAGAGTATGAAAAGAATGGTTCCAGAGTGTGGAGAGATGGATTTTCAAAGGTTCAAAGGGCAGCTTGCTGCACAGCCTGCCCTGAAAGCCTGTGGGAAACCAAGTTCTTATTTTCACTTTTGAACAAAGAACAGAAAGCAAAGCTGACTGCAGGCTCTGCAGCCAATTAAGCAGTCAACTGCCAAAGCATTGGCTTTAAGTCTACCCCACCTGCACTCACTGAAGATAAAACAGCATGATTCTGCTTGTTTTTAGTACTATAAATGGCGCAGAGACATACCTGTGAAGCTGGACTTAAAACCAGGAGGAGGAGGTGCCTGCTGACTCTGCCAGAAAGGCCTAGTGAATCCATCACTGTCACCAAAACTCTCCTGAGGCTGCTGGTTACTGAGGAAGAGCTTGTATACTCCAAAAGCAAGAACCAGAAGAACAGTTACAACAATTGCTCCAACACCAGAATCAGAAGAATCCTTCCCTGACTGATGATAGCCAGATCCAAAGCTTCCAGAGCTCTTCGCTTTCCTTTCGCCTTCCTCAGTCAGCTCTAGCTTGAACAGCAAACTGCAGGAGCCTCTTAAGATGTAAGGATCATCCGGATAATCGTAGCCTTCGCAGCTCACTTCAAGTCGTCCAAAACGGTAGGTATTTTTCAAGTCTGCTTTGCACTGCCACTGAAAATATAAACACAATACAACGTAAATCCTGCTGCTCCAGAGCTGAAAATGCCTGTCTGCTTCCCCAAATACGCTCTGAAATAAAGCTGTGATTAATAACAAACCATGTAAAAGGCCACGGGGTAAGAAATTTCTGACCACTCTTATTCTGAAAAGGACTAGGAATTCGAAATTAAGTAAGAATGTTTTTTTAAATCCTAAAAGTTAAAAAAAATTGATCTTTTGGAACACAGAAGTTATAACTCTGGAAGATTTTGGTTTTGTACACTGAACAGGTTTTTCAAGTATCCCTTCTTTAGGTATAATACTACTTCTAAAAATAACCTGTACCCTGTGCAACAGTTAATTAATAAATTCCTGTCCCACGTAAACTAGATGGCAGCTACAAAAATATAATACAGAAGCCTGAAATCAATTGCACTTGTGTCCACACGGAAGTCAAAAGAAATTGGGACAGACATCATTAGGCATTCATATGTAACACTTAACAAGCAAATTACAATCCTGCAGTTGAACATATGCAGATTCCTCAGTCTCACCTGCCCTTGAAGTATCTGAACTCAGGTATCACCTCTAACTGTAAGTGACATATATTTTGTAATATATTTTGCAAGTGACACACATTTTGGAAAGAAAAAAACCACGTAGCTCCTAGATTAATAATTCAGGACAGCATTGTCAGCTGCCAATTAAAATTTGACTGTACTTTTACATTACTGTATTAGTTTTAACCACTATCTGCAGCTTTGATTCCGGGTTAATCTGTCGGCAGAAGCCTAGGGAATAGCTAACAAAACATAAACATATCTGTCTATTGAAATAGCTGACTGAAGTACTACTGTGCAAGAAGTAGTCACAGAAGTCTGAACTTTAGTTTTTAAAAGGTAGAGTGTAAGTGATGCAAATATTTATAGCCCTTTCTACTCTAAAACTTGGAAATATATGCAGCAATACCAAAAGCAAGAGCATCCTCAAGGGTTAACAAGAGTTGGATTTTATCAACTCAAGCAACATTTTAATTAAAACGAACAAAGGTGTGTTATGCAGCGTTTTTACATTACAGCCTTCAGGGATATTTCAAAGATATAACTACAGTAGTTCTAGAAAATCAAAACCCAAAAAAGTATTTAGGTTAGGCTTTAGTTGTCAAAGGCCCTCTAGCAAAAAGCAAACTGCACCGACACCCTAGCCCATTACTGTTTTTTCCTTCAGAAGCTACTAAGCCTGGGGAAAGGTGGCTTCATTACATGTTTATCAAGTTTTAAACATTTACCTGCACATCATAGCCATCCCAACCTTTGTTGTAACACTGAACAACCTCAGGGATACGCGAACATCCAGCACTGCCTCCTGTGCACTGTAACTGAGGGACAGCAGCTGTCCGCCGGGACGTCGTGTACTGACCTCTGTGAAGAGTTAGCGCCTGTACCTCCCTCAGCAGAACCCTCCCTGAAACAGGTAGAACAAGGGTCAGTGTTTACCAAAATGCGTTCCCCTTAGCCACAAGGGCCTCCTCTCAAGAAGAGGCTGACAATACAAAAGACGCAACAGCGTGAAAATGAAACTTTTAAGAAGCGCCAGAGAAGCAGAGGAACACGGCAGCACTTCCCACTTCCTTCAGAGGGGGCTCTGCGTTATTTCTCTCCGAGCGCAGAACCACCACTATGGAATTACCACTGCGGCCCAAGCCGATTTAAAGGGAGCCCAAACCCAAAAGCCCTCCTGGCGCAGGCCTCGGCCCGCCCCTTCCCCCCGTACCAGGCCGCCGCTAACCCGGCAGCGCTCGGGCCTGAGAACCCCCACCCCACCGCGGTGACGGGAGAGGTAGAAAGGGCAGCCGGGAGGGCTTCGAGGAGGCGCACCCGGCCCCCGCGGCTCTCACCCGGCTGGTCCCAGCCTCGGGCGGGGCAGACGGCAGCGCAGAACAGCAGGAGGAGGACAGCGGCCGCCGCCATGACAACCCTGAGGTGAGTCAGCCCTCCGCCCTGCCGGAAGGGGCGGGGCCTCAGGGCCGCGCGCGCACCGCCCTCAGGTCCCGCCCAGAAGCCGGCAGGACCAATAGGCGACGAGAGGGCGGTGCTCGGGTGCCTGCACGCTCCCCGGCCGGAAGCCGCCCCTCAAGAGGACCAGTTCCGCTTCCGTTCGGGCGCCGTTCCGCTTCCGGGTTGGTGCCAGTTCCGCTTCCCGGCGTGCAGCCTCTCCGCCGGTGTGGCGCCATGGCCGGCATCAAAGGTGCGGCGCGGAGGGAGGAGGGGGTAGGGGGCTGGAGCGACTGCCGTGGTAACGGCAGTGGGGCTGCCTTC